TGGGGAGTGTAACATCACCGTAAACAACAATGATCTTCTTCATTACGTGAGGCTTCTCATTCATGATTCTTTGAAACATCTTTGGAAAGAGAAAGAATGCTTATTCTTGTCTCATTTGTTTTAGATAACTTATTTAATTGTTAAAGTAGCCTTACCGGTAATTGTTTAAACTCTCTAAATCTTTGCATTTCCGATTTTTCTTGCTTTGATCTCATCAATATGATGATATTTTTAAGACTGGAACATGAATATAGCAACTTCTCTAGCAATACCTTCCCCATAAATCCGGAACCTTTAAATGTTTATAAGTGAGTGTCAAACCAGATACTCAGATTTATGATTATTTTTACCTCCAGTAATAAATACAACTTTATCCTTATAAAATTGTTGCACAGAATTTAAACCCTTCATCGGACGCTTAATTATTCTTTTAATCACACTTTATAAAATATTGAAAGAAGAAGTAAAATGTCTCGATAAGTTGAACTATAAAATCCAAATGAAGAGCAAATTATATTTTCTTATTCTTTTATTATAGTTTAAAAGATGTGTCAAAGAAATAAAATGAAAGTGAAAGTAGAGTACACGAAATTTATTTCCATCCACCGGATATGATTTCCAATATTTTTTGACTATAATAATAAACTGAAACATAATGTGAAATGAAATTAGGTTGCTGTAACTATTACATCAGTAAAAGAATTTTATGGAAAAAAAATTGTGAGAAATCAAAACAAATTTAGAGACAGTCGAAGCAATTAAATAAGTTAACTCACAAATTATTTAGGTGTAAAATTTTACGATTTGCTTAAAAGAATTAAGTGAAAAATTTTGTCTTTCCTCTTAAACTTTAATAATTTCATCATCAATTGGTTCTCTCCAAAAATCTACAAGAATAAATATGCCATTTATGTTCTCTTTTGATTGCAATCATTTTCTTCTTTTCTATATGTTTTTATTATAAACAAACAAGAACATAATTTTGAGTAGACCACCGTCCTCGCTCCAATGTCAATGTTCAGCTTATTATGTCGTCTGATGTTCCCATTCTGCTTTTAATGATTTTTAAACGACAAAACGAGATGAAAAGAATACTTCAGAAATAAATCAAAAATACATTTGAATAACGCCGATTGTGAAGATTGAGATATCATTGCACAAGAGAATCTTACAGCGTTGTTTAGAGCTCAATTATTAATACAAAAAATGGATGGAAAATATTCAAATTTTCTAATTAAAATTTTGTCTTTTGCCTTCTCAAGTGCCTTGAGACGTCGTCTAAATGTTTGATTTATTATCCTGTTGTGTTCAAATTTCTTATCGATGAAGTTAGAAAACCAATTTCTGTGTTTGTTTCGCTATGGCTCGAGCCTGATGGCTCCTAAAATCAGTAATGTCTGCAAAAGAAGAAGGAAAATATTCTTGAGGTGAATTAGATTATGTTATAATGATTAGTTGTAAAATTAACTTGTAGTGAAATAAAATACATAAATTCATGCCGAAATCTTTTTTAACCCTTATTTGGTTATTTATTTACTCAGCACGGATATGCGAGAACAAATTATGAGACTCGAAACAATACTGGACTTAAATTGGTTGCATTGAGACGTGTGGTAAATACTTGGTAAAATATTCCTAACTTCTCGCACTTTTTCTTTTGCTCGAAGACCCAAACATAATCGAAATTAACAACTTTGAAAAAAGCGGTGCAATAAAAAGTAGATACAAATATTTGTTTTGGTGCTTGCTACGTTATTGTCGATCTTTGTTTTGCGCGCATTATTGGATGACCGAATAGCTAAAGGCAACTGCTGATAAATTTGAATAATGTGGTAATAAATTTTCGCTATGCTTAAAACAATGTAATTTTTATGAGAAACTAAAGAAGTAATCGTACAAAAGATTGAAGACTAATGGCTAAAGTGTTTTTTAAATTGGATTTTTTATTAGAAATTCTAATATTTTATTCAAAATTTGATTATGAATTTACAATTTGATTATGAGATTTTAAAAATTTTACCTACTTAATTAATTGTTTTTTCGTAATAAGAAATAGTTCAATAGAACTCAAGTGGCTTCTTTTTTCCAATATAATTATATACATAACTTAAACGTTTAGTTACGAATCATGCTAGGCTTATTGGGAAGAAATGAAACAATTGTTTTCAAGTTTATGATAAAAAATTAAAACATTTTTATAGAAAATAAAATGACCTCTCTGAAATGACAAAATCTGTTTCGAAAGTTCAAAATTTGCAGCAAAGCCACAGTGTTTTTGTTTATAGTTTCTTCTAATTCTTTCCCTCTTGGTTGAACAGTTGAAACAAAGAAAAAATGTTGTTGAAGAAATATTCAAGTCGAGTCAGAAGACAGATAAAAAAGAAGAACGGAACGCAAGAAATCATTGACTATAGCGTTTACATGACTTTTATCACATTTTATGATTTTTTAAAGACATTGTTCCTTTGCTTTTTGTTTTTTCGGTTTTTGCGATTTTATTGCAGCGCTTATGAATGTTGTGCATTGAAAATTTATTTGATCTTCTCAACTGTAACATCAGAGAAGGGAAACACATACACTTATGAAAGATGCATTTAGATTTAGTTGAGTAATAAATAATTTCTATCGTTATCGGATAAATATTTTACTCTCACGACTTTGGATGTTCTTTCTTTTCGCATTTTTTATGAATGCTTCAGGAATATGACGGCGACAGACTTGTTTTTGTTAAAGAAATGCTTTATGTTTCAATCAAACCGAATATAAACATATTTCATACCATCATTGGGCACAAATGTAACAGTTTTTCCTGTTGCTAGATTTTTTCAACTTTAATCGATATTGCGAATTAATTTGTCAACAAAATAAAAGCACCCGACAAAGATTTACGATTTAAAGAATACGAACCGAAAGAAAGATTAAATCGTTTCTGTTATTCATCACCAAATCCAGATTTCATACGAAAAAATCATAATTTGAACAAAATATATATTTGGGCAAAACAAAGTACTGAAAATGCTTTGACAATGTGTTTATATCAGTCAATATGTGTCAATCAAAGTGATTACTATAAGATCTTGAGTAAAGTCTAACGATTATTTCATCATTTACTTTTTTCTGATTTTCCTTGTAATGTCTTTTAGTAATAATAAAAGTAAGCAATAAATAGCTGCCAATTAAGTTTGTCTCTTAACACAAATTCTCATACTTTTTTTTGTTGCATCTTGAATTTTGATGAAATGATTATTTATTTCCTTTCACAGCTGTTTCGTCAAATTCACTCTATTTTCTTTCGTAAATTGAGCAAGAAATTGTCGCGATTTTGTTTGTATGAGTAACATGGCGGTACTTACAAAAAGTTTTCTCTAAGTACCTAATAAACGAGTCAATAAATTAAGAAATTACACAAATTGTCTAATCAAAAACCAATTATAGTTTTAATTTCAGCTAAGAATTTCTCAATTAAAAACTGTATGAAGACAACAACATTCAATGCTTATCAAAGCTAGCAGACGACCAGACGGTTTAATGCTTTTATTTCACAACGGGATGTCACACAAAAAATAAAATGTTGATGTCTCATATAATTCGATAATTATTTTATTGCCCAAAGCAAAAACAGAAGTCGGGAAATTACAACATACCAAAATTTTTCACAAGAAGGTTTCGCTTTCAACATCGTCAATCAATTTATTATTGCGTTTCCCTATCGCATTACTTACCTCTAAGTAACATCTTTTGAAGCAAATTCTACCGACAAAAATTAAGCAATAAACTAGATAAAGTTATAAAATCGTCTTAAACATATCGAAACAATAGAAAAACACTTGCCTCACGATATCCTTTAATCTTACATTAACACAAAATTATTCAAATTCTTTACATTCAATCTTTTGTCTTCGTTAATATGCAACTCAATTCGTTTACTACGGTCGCTGCTTTAAGCAGATGTTTTTCATCAAGATTCTAATTTTTTTTCGAGAAATTGAAAAAGGACGAAGGAGAATTTCTCTTTCGTTTCAATTTAGAGTTCAACGCCGGGAAAAATCCTCAAAAAAACTCCAAGTGCATTGAAACACCCGGCCCAATAAATACTTCTTCGATTTCATGTTTATTAAAAAGTAACAAAAAATCGAGAGTACAGTGAAATGTTTATGAATATAGAAATCATCGTACATAAAATCAAACTTTTTATCGATTTCGTTAGATTACTACGAATATCGAAATTCAATTATGACAAACATGTCTCGATTTTGAAATATCTGTGACTATAAAAGAAAAGAAACATGAGAAATTATTTGCAAGTTCCTTCAACATACGCGTCTTTTCTCATTTCCTTAATGTGTAAAAATGTGTGTTTAATTTCTTTGTGTACCTTGATAGCAATACAATACTCACACTTGTAAAAAAGCTACATTCAATAAAAGACACTTGGTTCCTTCAGCACACGCTCCCTTTTAAAATCGAGGCAAATACACGGGGGCAGGTGTGTTAGACTTTCCATTAATTTCTTCTTTACTTTTTCCTTCTTCCATCTGAGTTTTAGTTTAGCGTAAAAATGCTCTTAGAAGTATTCTCATATAAAAAGAAAGATATTTTTTCGTCTCTTCCTGATCATGGTTTTTGGGGCACTTTTTTGATGCAAGGTGTTTACGTTTTGGTGAAGGTTCAATGAAATTTGCAGTTTATTTTGACATCGACTATACGAGATGGGAATGTCCGAAATTGATGTACATAATGAAATATAAACACGTTGTTTTGAATTCGACCTTTAACACAATCAGAATTTTATGAATTAAAGAAATTATCTTACTAAACATAACTTTCGAACTGAAAATTACGCGTTTAAAAGATGTCTAAAATCTCCATATCCAGTGCTTAGTGTGAATTAAACCAGAGAACACTCATCTGATTCAAAAGTACTTGTTTATAAGAGATAATTATGCAGATTTTCCGTAATAATTTTGATGTTCTTTTGATTTAACTGGACATGAAAGAAAAAAATTATACAAAGAACACAAAATTAAGCCGCCACAGCAATCACAATCTCGTTTTTAATCTAATGCTAAAGAAGAAAATCTTTTATCAGAAATCATCTTAAATGCCATGAAATCGAATTATCTCACAAAAATGTTGATGATGCAAAATAAAAACAAATTCGTTGTGCATCCTTCATAACATGCTGAATCATCGAATGGACTAAGCGAAGAAATATAACTAAATAAGTGTTTGGCCATTAAATATCCCAGCAACACCTAAAGATATTTAGTTAAATTCGATATGGGGATCATAAGTTTCGCACATTGAAAAGCAGGAAGCGCCACTTTTTGAAGAATGCCGTTTCTGATGTGAACTTTCTGTTGAACCGTTGATGATACATTGAAATCAAAAAATCAAATTAAAAACGGGTCGCTTCTAAAGAAATTTATTGATTTCGGGTTCCTTTCTTTTCATTAATTGTAGTCTTTAGAATGTTCGGTGCTCTTTCTCACAATCTAAAGTGTTTTATTTACATTAAATAGAAACAAATAGGTAGTTAGATTATTTTCAACCATATCCGAGACCGTAAACTTTAACCAGAAATTAAGTTTATTTTTATTAGATATGAAATTTCTGGATAAAATCACATTAAAACGGATATATCTGTTGCCTTTCAACGATTTAGTAGGAGAAAGTGAATCATTTTATTTATTAAGAAGAATTTCAGTATTTTCTTCGAGAATAAAAATTCCGAATGCAGTCAATAACGTATCGATCCACAAAATTAATTATGATAATTATAAAAATTACAATGGTATGAATTCAGGTAAATATGAATCTAACATTTGGAGCTAAGGTACTGTCACATATCTTTTTAAGAATGTACCGCTCTATCATTAACATCAACTCGCCTTTCAGACAATATCACGAATTATTATAAAAATTAGTTCTAATTGAAACTTAATAGAAAGTCATAAATATTAGCGAATGTTCCTGCTTACTTCATCATCATTCTGCTATGTCTAACGCCTGAAGACGATCACTCATTGCATTCAAAACTTTTCAACACCTCTTGCAAGCATTTAGCAATGACTTTATTCAGAACAAAGCACGAAAGCATCAAAGAAAAAAAGCTTGTAAAATAATTAGCAAATTATAGACTTTAGCGATGGGATTCGGCAAAAATCGATAATATTCAGGACGGAAAGGTGAGAAGTTGTGAGAAGTAATAAAATCGTACCGATTATAACTCATTTTCCTGAATGGACTCAACTCTTAATCATTCACCATTTGGTACATGAAACGGCAGACACAGCAGGATGAGTCTGAAATGTTTAATTTTTGCAACGAGCCATTGTTTGAAAATTATATATGCAGGTAAATATGTTTCTCCCTTTTTTTCCTCCAAGTCATTCATTTCGAGTCGCTTTTGGTTTTCTAACTTAATTTTCATTGTCCTTCTAAATGTTTAAATTCTAAGTTAAAATAAATTGGGCATCAATTAATGAAACATTATGTCAAACGCAGTTTTGGCTCCATCCCCAAAAATGAATTTTTCACTGTAAACGTTTAAGATGCAGAAATTTATTAAATTCTTAATGTTTATTTCATGATGAATTACTTTTACGATATAATAACGTGATAAACATTAAATTAAATAATTTTGTATGATTAATTCGCAATCTGAAGATGTCTTAATAATATTTTACAAAATTTCTGTTTGGTAAGCTGCGAAAGTCAATATTACGTAGATACTTTAATGCATACTTCAACCTTTCACTCTAAATTCAGAGAAATGATTAATTGGATTGCTCATTGATAACCACCAAATATATATTTTATTGTTGGGCTTAGTACATGTCAAGTTGATTTTTATTTGATGAAATAATCTTTGATGTTATGATTACGAGATTGCATGATGAGATTGCGCTTATAAACACTTTTTGATGATAACTTCAGGAGGCGTCATCACAGTGTGCGAAATCTTGAACTTAAAACTTTAATAAAAATATCCTCATGACAATGGTCAGGTTATTCGGTCAATTGCTGCGTGATTAACGTAATAATTTCTTTTCTTTGTCGTATCACATGTCGAAAATCTTAGCAATATTTTTATAACTTTCAATAATAAATCAAAAAATTCAATCAACTTCGTGGATAAATGCTTTATGCTAATTTTTATTCCTTTACCGTGCAATATTCTCATGTTGGAGCTGTAAAACGTGTACTTACTTAAGGGTAAATATTGATGACTTTTTGTGAATAAGATATTGAATGATTGATTTCACCGATGTGGCACAATAACAAAATTAACTACGACAATTGGCAGTTACTCAAAAGTATGCTTATGATTATTAATTATATGCTCATACATTGTAAAATTATAATTTCTTTTTGACTGCGCACAAACATTTTTTAATGTTGTTTATTAAAATGTGACAAATTGGAAACCGCTCCCGAATACACCGCAAAACATCACGCACTCTTTGAAGATCGTGATAACATCTTTGAGATAAAATATCGTTTTTTAAAAACATTAAAGTTATGATAATTTTTTTATTTTGGAACTTTGTGGCTATAATTCATCGAAGAAATAAAACGTAAACATTAAAGGATCTTCATATCCACCTTTTTTATGTTTCTAGGTAAAGATTTTTATTCAGTTTTAATTTAAAGTTTCAGAAGAGAAATTATAATAAAAATGTACCTTAAAAAGTTTATGACAAGGATCAACCTTGAATCTTTTTATTCTTTCTTATTCAAATGATCATAAAAATCATCCCAAAATTGAAATTCCCATAACTTCTTCCATCCTTTTTCTTTTAAATATCAAATTTGTATATTTTACCATTTGCTTTTTTGATCGAATACAAAACGAAATGATTGTTTGTGTGATGGCAAAGATCTTAAGCACGAATAAAGGATGAGAAAAGCTAGGATATCTATGTTTGTCTTCTATTTATTTCACTAAATAAAAATGAGAAAAAAATTCAATCACAGGACCAAAAATTTTATATTCCGATTCCTTTTACTATCACAAGATATCCTAGAAGAGAAGCTAAGACATCAAACGCTGGGAATTTTTATTTTATTCTATACAAAAAAAATTCACCTTTATTGGTTGCCACTGCAACATTATTTATTTCAACTGGCTTTTGTTCAATTTCTATAACAATAGGTCGATTTTTATATTCACATGATTTCACAGTAAAATATAGACATGAAATCGATTTATAACATTTATGATGTCTCAATAGGAAAGTTTCTCATAATTTCCATCATTAAAAAGGGCAAAATAGGAATCTTGTGAGTTTGCAAAAATTTAAACTTCTGGTAAAGGATTGCAATATTTTTTGCTGAAAATAATTGAAACATCTTGAGTTTATTTGTACAATGAAAGGATAGAAATAAGGTGCAATTTATGAAAGGTGTCATTTTTCAATTGTGAAGGATTGTTTGAGACGAACCGCAACACATTTCAAATTTTGACATTTCGAAGGGTCGACAGGAAAAAACAAACTTCCGAAAAACTTTCACAAAACAATTCATCAGTGAAAGAAATCAAAGATTTTTTTTCGGTTTCTGTAAAGATTCGAGAAATGAAATATTCTCATAAATTTCTCTCAATAAATCAATAAACTTCACTAAATTTCCTATTTACCATATTAATCTTTTCTTAATCCTTTTCTTTTCCTTTCACGGTCAGTCAGCGTTATTCAACGCGTCAATGGTATCTTTATTCAAATTTTCATCTTCTCCTCGCGCCGTGGTCTTAAAACTTTAAATAAATAACATTAAAGGTCCCGAAAGAAGGTGAAAAAACACTACTCACACGCGCTATTCATAAAATATCAGAAGTTAAGAGCTACAAAACTCGTGTAGATATCGAAGTAATTTATTAAAACGAATTATAAGTTATGACATGTGATATATTGAGGTGATGATTTCAGAACAAATCTTGTAATATCTTGAACACAAGCTGTTAACCTTATGGTTTCGTCATCATAAAGTCAAGAAACATCTCTCAAAAATTATTAATGATGAATTTATTTAAAAATATCATTTCTGATTCAAAATATTTAAATTAAGGTGAAAACATCACACAACTCAAACATTGAAAGTTGTGATTAAGAACTATTAAATTGCCATAAATCATGAATGAATAAAGCATTCAAAGTTTCCTTTTGTCGTAATTAGCACAACAGATCTGTTAGGATAATTAAAGTCTTGTGTAAGTTTCTTTCATGTTTTCTAATAGTGAAAAGCAAATTTCAACTCTTAAATACACAGATAAATGCTTGACAACTGATTTATGTGTTCGCATTTTGTTTAGGCAATTGAATTAAATTACTTTAATTAATAGTTTATTTATTTAAATTCTCCTAAATATTTCCTGTGTCCAAATGAAACTTTTTGTGATAAACTACATTTCCAGGAATATTGAGATAAACATTAGATTTGGCTGCAGCCTTTAGAAGATATATTTATTGTATAATATATCTAACAGCCCATCAGACAGGATCTATTATTGCATTTTACACAAGACGGGAAGAATTTTTATTAGTACCACTCAGAGAAAGACTACCTTATAATATTTTATGACCCATACCATTTACCCATAAAACTGGCACGTTCAACTCGAATCTATCTTAAGAATTTTTAAAGTGACAAGTGTTATTTGAATTTAATGTCTCCAGTATATCGTGGTTGAAATTTTAATGCTAAAATGAATGCATACAAACATGTTTCTTTCTTTCTCATAAGTTTTATTGCAAATATTTTATTGACATCAAATGTCCGTTTTGGTTAAAGAAGCGTTTGATTAATTTATTTCATATCCATAGCATTACATCAGATAAGATCACATCATAAACGACACGAAAAGATATCAAACATTTCTTCTGTGATGTCGCTTCGTCTGCAGTTTGAAAATTTGCTTATTCTTTGTCTTTTAAATGCTAATTGATTTTTTATTTACAATAAAATTCAGTCATCACAAATATCGAGCTACTTTGTTTTGTCGCATGCAGTCAAATTTTATAACTTAATTATGATGTTTGAGATCAAAGCCCAACCGGTAAAAATAATTCCTTTTGAGAGTTGTTCATATCGAGGATATCATGATTGTCATATGATAATTAAGAGCAAAAGTAATATGTACTGCTACGTATTTTACAGATTGCATTTGAATAATGAACATAAAAGCTACATTGTAATGTAAAACAAGCGGCAAAGGAATTAAAAGGAGTTTAGAAACCATCAAAATTGGAATTATCTAAAGAAATTTCTTTCCGATAAAGTAATTAAAATTGATTTTATATGTTACTTTATTTATAAGAATTTATTATTTCCCCAAACCACCGTGGAATAAAAGGCAATTGCATAAATATCAATTTATCGCGAATTTAAATTTTATTTGATTTCTGATCTCATAATAAAATGAGACAAATTTTAAGAATTTAATTTCAAATCATCGTTCATCCTATATTCGGAAAATAACTTCAATCAAACAGTTAAATCGATGTCTAAAAATGTTAGCATCTATTGTTCTCACATCTATTAGGGCTAATGTTTAATGCTGATGATCGTCAGACTATTTATATGCATCGCACATCATTCATTAATCAATCATTTTCTTCTTCTCTTTAGTTCATTCAAAATCTAATGGAGAAATTAGTAGACGAACTTCCAACCAAATTTCATCTTTTTAATCAATCAAAAATATATCCAACAAATTTATAATAATTTTATGCATCGAAATATGAAAAAGGTTTAGAACAAAATTCAATCAGAAAACGTAATATTTTAGTTGTTGAAAGAAACATTCGTGCAACACCTTTTTCTTTTCAGATCTGGTGCACAACTGCCCCCACCAGTTCTTAAAAAAATAAAATCATTAACTCGCAGCATCTTCTCATTTTACACACAGTTGCAACTTCTCGGATTTCTTCTCTCCAATTTTTTAGATTTATTTTTTCTTGTGGAGAAGAAGGATCATTTGGAGGAGAAAATCTTCTGTCTTCCTCCAACGCATTATGTGAATATGTATTTTTTATTCGACAGAAAAATCCATGTTACTTGATATCTTCTTTTATGTTTTCTAAGGCTCTTTTGCGTATATTTTCTTTCTTCTTTTCAATTCCAACTGGATCTTGTTGCCGAAAATATCATTCGTTTGTATTAGTGACTTCAATTCCTTATTCTTCTTTTGATTTCGTACTTTTCACGTCTTCGACGGCACGCGTCTTCTCAAAAGCAAACTGATATCTACGTCGGCCCTCAAGACGAAGACTACTTCGTGTGTTGTTCGGCTTTATCTTGATAATTCTCCTGTTGCTTCATTCATTTCCATAGTTAGTGGTGGGAGAAACTGATACGAAGTGAAACATTCGAGTGGGGGAAGAAAAGAGAGCATAAAATATAGAAAAAGCATAAAACAACATAACAAGAATCCAGTGTAAAGAATATTTTAAGAGCAGGTAGAAAAATCGCTGAGTACTAAAACGAAGGGACGGAGGACGAAGGAAATCATTTCATCGTGAAACTTCACTCAGTTTAAACGTACTTTGTCAATTCTCGCTTTATCGCGTGGTCGAATATTTTTTTTAAAAAAAAATTCTTTCAAGAAGACAAGTTGAAGAAAAAAATCTTTAAAGTGTTTTGTGTTATTTTCGTTCTATATTTTTCAATCGATACTATTCAGTTCTGCTCCAGATTCGAAAGAAGTAAGACGTGTTCTTAAAGACTTAAAAAATTAAAGAACTTTTTTCAAAATCGATTGCAAGTGGTAAAGATTTTATCATTTTTTAATTAAAAAATATAAAAAATAAACAAGTGTTGTTGAAACATTAAAAATTTAAAACTAATGGCATCAGCTTCAGTTCGCACAATGACACTCGGACAAAATATTCACATGATGCCTAATAATTGTGTAATTGTTTCTGCAAATATGATTTCTGGGAAATCACAACAAATGTATTCATCGCATGGTAAACGTCCTATTGTACCAGCACCAACAGTTCTAACATCAAATGGTGGAAATCAAGTGATCAATATTCCAAAAAAGAAATACAATTACGGATCAATGCAGTATCCTTCTAATCAGACAGCATCTGTCGCTCGACGAAACGCTCGTGAAAGAAATCGAGTTAAACAAGTGAATAATGGTTTTTCCAATCTTCGTCAACATATCCCACAAACAGTTATCACAGCTTTGACAAAAGGTGGTCGTGGTTCATCTAAAAAATTGAGTAAAGTTGATACCCTGAAGTTAGCTGTTGAGTACATTCGAAGTTTAAAAGATATGTTAGATGAAAACGAAAATTCAGCAAGTGGTAGTTCGACAAGTTCATATTATTCGGAAAATTCACAACATTTACAATCACTCTCGCGATCAGAAGCATCACTATCACCAACACCTTCTTATTCTTCAGATGCTTCAAGTACTTTGAGCTACACACCAAACCACATTCAAAGCCATCAAACACATTTCAAACAAGAACCATTTGATTCTTATGTTGATCCATCGACATCACCAGCACCGTCATATCACTCTGATATTCAAATTCACCATCAGCAAATTTTTCCACCTACGTCTACACCGTATAAACCTGTGCATCAATACGACAACTACTCTCCAGTAAGTCCCGAAGACGAAGATTTACTCGATGCAATCACTTGGTGGCAACAACAATAAACAACATCAAACAAACAAACTTTTACTTCAAGGTAATTATTTTTTGATATTTTCATTTCATCTCCCTAAAGTGCTATGTTCGAGTTTAAACTATAAAGTGAATCTGAGACTCTGCTTACAATTTCCTACCTGCCAACAGTTCAAATGAATAGAAAAAGAAATCTATTTTTATGCATAAAGTTCCATATTGAACAATAGATTTCAGGTCTTTTCATCCCGAGAATATCCCGCGCAAAAATAAGAAAACTTTATGAAAAGAATCTTTTGCCATTTATTCTTTCAATCTGAAATAGAAAAATGTCATTTCTTTTGTTGATTTTTTTTCTTACGTCTTTCCATCGTCTAAGAAGAATCGAAGATTTCCTTCTTGAGTCTCACGTGTGCCACAAGGAGTCAGTAAACTGGAAGAAACAAAGCAAGAAAAAAATTCTTTAAATAATTCTTAATTCACGATCACGACCTATAAACGAAAAAAAAAAAATTAAATACCTAATTTTATATAAGAATCATAATGAAAGTATCTGATCGAATGATAAGTCAGAAAATGAATTGCATCCTTTGCGGGTTGAAGACTGATAGTCGTATCTCATTTCGATAATAATGACAAGGACTTTTTCCATCGACATAAAAATTTTAATTATGTGATATCCAAAAAAAGAAACGCTGAAATTGAGAACTGCCCTAGCCCAATATCTGATCGAATTCGGATGATGTTTAAAGACATTTCACGATGAAAATAAAATTTGAAAAAATCTTACTCTTCATCCTCATTTTTTTGTTTATCGAAATTTCTTCTTTCAACTTGCTTCTTCTTTGAGACTTGTTCTCATCATATTAAAAGTTTTTTTTCTTACTGCTGCCTGCCGCCGCCGACGATCGAGAGAGTCGAGATTTTAAACGACAGAAGGAAAGCATTAAGTTTCTTATAAGAAAGAATTGCGAATATAAATGCAAAAGAATAACGACATTACTTCATTATACAGAGCTTCTTGTACGTGGCTATCTGCTTATGATTGCAGATTGAATGCGGGTTTATTTTAAATTGTGCTTAGAAGAAAATTTATTCAACTTGTGTGACAAAAACTCATGTATTTTCTTTTTCCGTTCTCATTACAGATTCAAAGACAACGATTGCGTGAAAACAACGAAAAAAGGATGTCATAAATAATTTACCAATGATCTAGATTTCTATAAACTAAGCTTCAAGAGTACAAATTAATTAAGCTTCTTCGCTTAGTTGCCATCTTGGACACTGCAACCGCCGAAAATCAAATTAAAATATTTAAGCCTGCGCAAAGTACTTTTATAAAGAATTAATTTTTTCTTAGATGAAATTTTACTGCTGTTTTGTCATCAGGCTTCAAAAGTTAAAGATGTTTGGAGATTATCACGCCTTGTAAATAATATGGAAGACAATAAACTTAATAAGTGAGGTTTGTCAAAGTCTTTTTCATTTGAGGATGATGAGCATAAACAGCAGTAAATGCATATCTTACTGAAAACATAATAACGACTGATCTTTAATAAATGGTACTAGCAATTTTAGTGCTAAAATTGATATTGTAAGACTTTAACACAATTCCATTCTTAATTATCTATTTCTCTTTCCTTAAACAACATTTATCTATATGTTGTCTCTAGTCATATCGACATTAAAAGATCTTTAACGTTTAAGAATGCCAAAACCTTTTCATAGTTCTTACTGAAAAAAATAAGTAAGTAATCTTAAGTTTTGTATGAGATATGATTTGTCATTTATCTCCCCACGACAGTTTACAAGACATTGAAATTCAATATGATTTTTTTTATGAAAAATGATTTTTGTGTATGAAAATTAGAATATCATTGTGATGTTGACTCACAATTGTGCCTTTAAGAAACAAGTCTATCGAAAAGTGCATAAGAAGACTTTGAAACTCAATGCCTTTTTGTGTGAGATTTCTTATGAAAAGAAATATATAAAAAATAAAATGCGAACAGAAACATATTTTGCCAGTGAACTTAACGAAAAACATAATTTTGGAATTATTTAGTATTAGGAATAAAATGGAAGACATGTAAATTGATTATAAGGAAGTTTAAGACGTAGTTTTATAATATTTTTGGTACTGAAAACGAAAAAGAAAACAATCATGTTAAGCATTAAAATAAATCTTTGATTAAAATTATTGAAAACATAAAAATTGATGGATTTTTTTATTTTTTTCAAACATAGTCCTTTTGTGTTTCAGCATATATCTAGAAATACTTAAAAATTCCAGGTAGAAAACGACTCTCAACTTCTGGAGTCTGCAACAATGTTTTGAAGAAGTTGCTTGATAACAATAAGCATAGTAAAAAATGAAGAAAAAAATCAATGCTTATGTGAAGGTCAAGATGTCTGAGTCTCCTTTTGAAAACTTTCTCACAATTTCACGCTCCTCTATCAGACATTCCGTTAATTATGCAAATTTGATAAATTATCGAATTGATTTCAAATGCAAAATGATATCAAAGCAATCTTTAAAAAATTGGATTTCTTTCAAATTTATTTTTTCATAAATAAAACAAAGACGCTAAGCATAGCATTAAATGAAATCTATTTTTTTAGATACATTCTTCAGGTTAACATCGTTGCCGAATTAAACTATAATTTAATAAGTACTTTCAAAATCAAGAATTCAAATTAAAGAAATAGAGAAAAAATTTGCATAACAATTCTTGTCATTTTGATCTTAGAATGGTTGATGATATCTTAAACGAAAGCAAGTTCTTAATCAGAAGTATGTTGAATATCTACTCCTACTTCCGTTGCAGTCTTTTCATAAAAATCCTTTTCTTGAAATCATAATTGAAATATACAGAAGATGGAATGCAATTTCTTTAGCTCAAACACGTGACTGTTGGGATTCTTCTTGTACGAATTTGATTCCTTTTGTTAAATAAGTATTCATTTTTGGCGGCCAAACCCTCGCAAAACTATTTAAATAGTTTGAAAGCAAGTCGGAAGTCTTCATTAAATAAATCAGAGTAAAAAACATTTTATTCATATGTGGATGAAGTAAAAAAAATTACAATTTCAGAACTGCTGCCGACACACGCTGAAAAGAAACAAGTTTTCCTTCGTCTGCATGTGCACATGAAATTTTGGGAATGTTTTGAAGGCCCTTTCTGAAAAATTACCCAAGAGACGCTGTTATTACATTTGGTGACAAAATTATGATCCATTTGAATCAACTCAAGACTTCTGAAAGGAATTCAGAACTAAATAAAATGAAATGTAAGACGATACTTTTTTGTCATTTATTGCACATTTCACAAACATCGAGCATGTGAGATGAACCAGTTTGAGCAGAAACTATTAATACAGAAATGAAGGCGATATATGTTGGAGAGATTGCTTTACGGAATTTAATATCCTATTTCTCGGGTCCTACAAATTTTAATTGCGCAAGGCTCAAGCGATGGACATAATTTTAATGGTTCTTTAAACAACAAATTCTAGAGAAATCACTTTCTTCTATGTAAGTCATCCACATCTTTAAAATGATTTATTGCCGAATCTGTGACTTTCACACACCCATTAACTCTTAAAATAACAGAAGCATTTGCAAATTTAATTAATAGATTAGGCGTGGAAGTTTTGTCACTGATCAATTCATAGAAAAAATGTTCGAAATCACACTTTAAGTATGTTTTCTGAGCTCATTACGAAGGGGGCAGTAGTGAAGTGAGCCAACAACGTGACGCTGTGTTGTGTTTCTTTGTTTTTTGGTAAACATACTTAAACAGCAATTTAAGTAATGATCTTGAAATTGATATGAGTTTGAATGTTTCAAATGATGATGCTGCTGCTCATTTGAAAACATCATTGAGAAGGCTTTTAAGATGTTTTTTAATTAAGAAATAAAAACGAGTTTTGTTTCAATCAGTTAATTTTTGTTTAATTATCTTCGATAAGCTTATCTTAAGAGCATCGAAAACAGTAAATTTGTTAGTGGAACATTATACGAAGCATTCGAAGCACGCCTTCATAGCTGGAAGAAATGAATAAATTTATCACCTTATAGATGATGGCGATCAGTGCGCGCTTATAAGATTAATCGTCATTGATGAGAATAATGAGAAGCGGGAAGATATAAAATTATTGAAACGTGATAAAGATGTAAATGCAGTTTTTGTATCTTTGTTTGATATTTTTCGATTGAAAAAGGGAATCTCTTTAAAGAAATCAATCATTTTTGGAATCAGGTAGCAATGCCAAAGAATTAATCAAACTTTTGCAAAAAAAATAACAAAAAAAAGGAATGAAAGCCTTCGCTGGACAATCGTAAAAGTTCACAAAAAATTACACAAACCAGTGGAGATACACAAAGTGTCGCATAGAATCGGGACAAGAATGTCGCATTGTTTGAGCTTGCTTAAGAAAATAAAATCATAAAAAAAGTCGCAATAAATTTAATATCCAGAAAATTGTGCAAGAGCATTATAAAAATGAAAAATGTTGGATTCTTGCATCTATTGTTAGTGTAAGTATCGATGCATGTTTCTTTTTGAACTAATAAATAAAACTAGAAACGGTCAAGAAAAAATTCTCATTGAAGAAAATCGAGGTCAGTTTTTTAGGAATTTGTAAGGAAACGGAATTTGAAGACAGAAGATTTTTTACTTTTTAAGATTTACAAAATCTTTCCTGCAATGAGAAAGGTTCAAAAAAAAATTCTCAGCATCAATTAATATTTTAGATATTTATATTTAGACTTAGGCTAATGTTTCTTCACTCACATGCTCGGAACTTATACTCAACGAATCTTATGAAGTTCTTTCTTTATTTCATTTGGAAAATATTTGTTCAATCAACTTTGCTTTTATGTAGTTAAAACAGACGAAAATAATATATAACAACAGTTTATCGATGTTTTCTAATAAATATCAACGTTAATAATGATTGAAGCAGTTTCGAGATGCTTTTATAGCGTATAATAGGCATATTTAAACTAAAGTACAATAAACTACAATCTAATCCTTTTGGAACACTCGTCGCTCGCTCTCTGAACCGAATAACAAATAATTTATATTTTGATTTTCTTCGTTTCTTTTGACGGTTCAATGATTATCAATTTCTTTTCGTTCACTAACGCTGAGATCTTCATTTCACGTCTCGTAGAATCCACAAGTGTATTTAATATTTTTTAACCTTCAGTGATTTTCTCGCCTTTTGACTTTCGAGTTTGATGCGAAAGAACCGCAACAGTTCTTCAGAAAATGTTTCAAAGAGTTTATGATCACTTGAAACCTTCTGACATGAAACGGCGTCAAGATTCACACAACTAAGATTAAAAAGCGAAATTTATTATTGATTGAATTTCATGATCATTCTGGTAGGTTTACAGTCCTAGGGATATGCTCAATCTTTGAAAGTATATCGAAGACGTAGGCAAAAGCATCAATGCTTTCCGTCCGATCAATCATCTTTTTCTTTCTAAATATATGTATTTGTGATCAGTTTGAAACTATTTTACTTTACGTTAATATTTATAGCTTACAGTAGACGAGAATTTTATTTTCTCAGGATAATATGGAAACAAATTATTTATGTATGTTTTAACTGAAATATTTTTGCATATAAATGAAAACTCATTTCCATTAACCTTAACGTGCATTATTGATTAGCATGGGAAAAGATCATAAACAACGAGGGTGGAACCTACAAGCGTGAAGTTCATTTGCCTGAATACAAAAATGTAAGTTTCGAACAGTTAAGGGTTGTTGTTGTATTTATCGTGAATTTACATAAATTAAAATTCATTCTGATAACAATAAAGTAAAAAAAACAATTTCGAGAGCAATAAATGATCGGAAGTGTAACGTTTCGATGACTAAATAAAAATAGATTGAGCGAGTGTGGTCTTGGAAGTAGAAAAGTTTGAAAGCGCTGTCATTGCTACACCCATTATAATTACAAAAACATTCCTAAAACAAGCAGCGAAGAGAAATGTTTCTATCAATGAATCCTTTTTTATCACCGTAGTAAACGATAACCATGTCAAAAGCATTAAGAGTAGAAACTTTTGGAAAGAAAGAACGAATCAAAAGTTAAAATTTCTTTCACGGACCACCAGTTTGATTATTTTTTTTCTTTTTCATTTCACCCTTTTATTTGATCTTTTTTGTGGAAAGATTACAGTGAGAAGTGAATAAATGAAACATTATCATCGCTCCTCAAATATTTGAACGAAAATAATTTCAAACCTTTCTTTCTTGAATGAAATTTAAATTTCATTTCCGATAAGAAAGTGTTGATACATCAAGAAGCTCATCTTCATCAGCAGAAGAAGGTAAAGTGAGATAGTTCAATAAATAATTGGATTCTGATTGGAAATCGGTTTCTTTCAAAGAGACACCTAAATTGATTGGTAACAATTACATGATACATTAGAAACTTTGTGTGGACTCGGTCATTAACTAAAATGCTCCCGAAATTACAGACCAATCGTCTTTCTAAATTACAGACATATTTCATTCACGAAATAGAGAATAAAATTGACACATTTCGGGTTCTGAAGAAATAAATATTGATTCCTGATATCAAAAAATGCAACCGAACATTCCAATTCAAAAATGTAACAAATTCATTTTCGATCTGCTTTTTCTTCCTTTTCACGAAAAAAAATACGATCGATGGATGTAATTATTGCTTCAATTCGTGATTTCATATTTCGGCAAAGGAAGGAAAGTGTTTCCGTAATCTGAGAAATTTCTTTTCAATTCCTCTTTGATCATTTTAAATTGTGCACTAAATCTCCTTCATCATCATTTGTGTAATTGTCCTAAAATCTAAGAAAAGAATTATGAGCGTATTTTTATAATTTTTGTAATTTTTGAACACAGGAAATTTTTATAAACGAGAGCTCTGTAAGCCGACAGTGTTCGTTTTCGATTAAGAAATGTCAATGTCCACTCAGTTTATCAAAACCCACGCAAAGACGCAAAACGCTCAATCAGTAGTCGATACTTAAAGTTGACTTAAAATAATTTAAATGGTATTTATCTTATCGAATTTGATAACATTTACAATGTCAAACGACAAAGCATATCAAAAATTTAGATGATATAAAAGAGCCTCAAATAATTTGTTAGTTTCAATTGTCGCATAAAAATGAAGGCGTTCGCAGTTTTGGTTTTACTTTCGATTTCTTACGGTAGAATATTAATGAAACAAAAAAAGAATAATAATAATAATAATAAATTATAGTTCTTGGCTCACCTGTTGATGTCGAGGAGCCCATCGCACCAACATTCGATGCTTACAGAGATGTTCGTATTCTTTTGATTACACGACAGAACCTAAACAATCCCCAACAATTGCATTTCCGCAATCTTTTGTCAGTACAACAATCTCAATTCAGATCGAATCGTCCAACAAGAGTCTTAGTTCATGGTTGGTTTGAAGATGACACTAGTGATATCAAAGTTGAAACAGCAGCAGAACTGTTAGCTGCTTACGATCTCAACGTTTTGTTCATTGACTGGTCTGAAGGTTCTAGAACTATCAACTATATTGGAGCCAGAAACCGTGTCCCAACAGTTGGAACTTATATTGCTTCGTATTTGGACTTCTTGCATGAAAATAACTTGATTCAATGGAATCGTGTAAATCTTGTTGGATTCAGTCTTGGAGGTTTGCTTTACTTTCAAAATACTTTACATAGTTAATAAAATTTTAATTAAATTTCAATTTTTATTAAGCTCATATCGCTGGCATGGCCGGAAAAGGTGTACGTCGCGGTAGAATTAATGCAATTATTGGACTTGACCCAGCAGGTTTGTTAAAATGTTTTTTGAATATTAATATTTTCTTAAAAATGATTTTAATTGAATTATGCAGGTCCTTTATTCAGTGTTCGTACTCCAAGCGAACGCTTAGATGCCAATGATGCTAATTACGTCGAAGTTATTCACACTAACGGCCCAACACTTGTTCTCATTGGTGCTGGTATTGGTGCTGCTATTGGGGATGCAGATTTCTGGCCCAATGGTGGAACTTCACAACCAGGATGTTTGACTAATACTTGTTCTCACGGTCGTGCTGTTGACTTTTATGGTTTGTCAAGAAAGAAAGAAAAGTTAAGTAACAAAAATCTAAAATTTAATTTTCACAGTTGAATCCATTCGAAACAACGCATTCTTTGCATTGCAATGTCCTGGACGTGAAGACATCAGCTCAAGACGTTGTGTTATTCAGCCAGGTGCATGGATGGGTGGAGATGCTATTAACTTCGACAAAGCTCTTTCTGGATGTTTCTATCTTGAAACAAACAGAAATAGTCCACATGCTCAAGGCCCTCCTAGGTAGAACTTAAAATATTTTTTGGTTGTTCCATCATGCATCATTGATTGATTAATAAAAATTTTAGTTGAAAAAAAAGTTCTTATCATCTATTTTTGCTCTACCACTTTGTTCGCTTAAGATTTATGACTTTAAGTCGTTTATGAGAAGCGTAATCAGCAAAATTCCAAAACGATTTTGATATCTTTAGCTATCCGACATCCCACGAAGTTAAGATAACTGTGCAGTGGCGATTTTTTTCTATAATAACAAAGATAAGAGGAACGATATGATATAAACACTCACCGTCAGATAAAATTAGATTTCGAAAAAAAAAGTCTAGTTAAACCAGAGGCTTAATTATTAGAATTAATGTATTAAAGCCATTCCTTTGTTTTATCCATGATAATGATAAGAGAATGTAAGCAGACATAAGCATTGAGTCATTAAATTTCGCATCCACTCATTTGTGCTTTTATGATAAAATTTTTAATTTTGTGTTAAATGAACTTGGTTGCTTTTTTCATATCTTGATTCATATAAATTCATTTGCCAATTATTTTCCATTTAAACCCGGCGCTTTCTTAAGCAGCATAAAGAGAAAAAGTCCGCAAAAGAAACAAATTGAGCCATACAAGATTTAAATTAACACATCAGAGAAATGGTTTGTGCCGCACTAACTTATCGTTCCATAATTATCTTCATTCATTACGCTTAATGAATAAATTAAATGCTCTTTAGGTTTTAACTTTTTAGCTTTTTTTTGTTATCCTTAAACATTTTCATTTAATGGAAGCAAATAAATTTTACGAGTACTACCTCAGTATAAGCAAAAACAGAAAGAGCGAAAAGAATTCGGTGGCTGTTGGTTTGAACATTTTATTTTACGGTCTCACTTCATCAAATGGAATTTATTTTCGATACCGCCTAAACAATCGAAAGTATTTCCCACTGTTCAGTATCGAATGAACACATTGTGCTGTTGAATTTCATTTTGGTGGGATTAACTTTCAATTGGATGGTTTTAATAAGAGAAAGAAAAATTAAGAATGGCTGATAAGAACTCTATATCGAAAAGCAATCGAATGGAAATTATAAGGATTATTGAGAAACACAAAAACAAATCATTATTAAAAAGCGATAAATCAGAGTTGAAGTAAGAAAACAAATAATCGATTTTTTAGCGTCTTAAGTGTTTGTTATTGTCGGGATATTCTTTTAGGAAGAATTTTATTCCACTTCGAAGATCTTTAATGAAGTCACAAGTTCATATCAATTTGTTCTCATGTTGTTTATCGCGAGTTTACTTTAAGAATCTTTTTGAATTCTCTTTTAAACTTTCGTTTCTTAAATGCTCAAACAAAGCGCAAGAGAAAATATAATAAATCCTTAAAGGAAAAATGCCGCCCTATTGTGTTGACTGCATGTCAATGTAAAGTCAGCGAAAGCGAGAGTCCACGATAACAAATTCACACCAAATAAAAGTGAATTACATTGTTGAAATCTTCAACAAATAACACACGAGGATGTTTATTTTGGGCAATCTTAATGTCTTGGAGTGGCTCAAGAATAATATCAGAGGCCGGACACTCTAAAGCTGGTATTAAAAGTTAGCTTAGTAAAAGTACAAACTTCTACTGTAGACTATGTGTAGCTTTACGTTTTAGGAATCACGTCTACCGAATTTTATAAATAAGCTTTATTTATCATATGTATGTGTCATCAAATAATCGACGAAGGTGCAAAAATTAGCTTTGAATTTTGTTTTTCTGATTTTAAAAAGTTTACTTTTTAGCCAATGAATAATAAACCAAAAATTTTGTCTATCTCACCATTTGATAAGATCAAACTAAAGGAATTTATAAAACCTTTCATTGTTTGTTTTTCAGTTGCGAAACAATAAAAAATATTTGTGTGATTAAAATTCACTTAGATTTTTGAGATTTTTCTTAGATCGTCGCTTTGTGGTCAAAAAAGAAAATTACAAAACATTTTTTAGTTATGCTGCTACATGTCTGCATGATTTTTTCCAGATCATCCCTAAAAGAATTCTTCCAATTAATTGATGGAATCTTGCAAAGAATCTTCGTATATATAGAAAACGACAAAAATGAACCTGATTTGATTCAAAACATCATTTCTTCATTTCTTCATTCTACAATCTTACAATCATTATTTAAAGCACAACAACTCATCGCTATCTGGATAATCGATCATTTAATGCAGAAATTTCGAAGATTAATTCTACATCAAATTTTTGCTTTTCGATATTCTCTCAAATTCATCCAATTTGCTCATTGCGTTGATCTCATATTAAAACTTGATTCAAGAAATTCTGCATTCCCTAGAAATGAAATGATTTTGATCATTTAATTTTATAATTCCAGTAATTGATTACTTGAAATTTTCCAACAGTATTAAAAATATTTAATAATAAATTCAAATCGTTGGATTTTTATTTTGTCGATTCTCTGCAATTAAGAAACTTTTGTTTAACAAGAACGTACAAATGGTGATATCGATCTTGGCTTATAAAAGAGTAATGAATTGGGAGCTCCTTCCGTGTTTAACCTTTGAGATGAGACTTGTGAGGGTTAATAATGTTTTCAAGTAGCCAATTTACTGCTACTGATAATGCCTCTCAAAGACCAATAATTTTGGTAATAAAATTGGCGAGAGAGAAAAAACGAGTAATTCCAGATTATCAAAATGAAAATGAAAACGTAAGTTAAGCAGATATTAATTGAGACATGTTTTTCTGATTAGAAACTATGAACAAAATGATCTTAGCAAAGTCAACAATTTTTATAATCAATTTTTGAATAATCAACGAACCAATCTTGAAGTGTAATTAATTTGGATATTTGTTTCAATTTCTTTTTCTTCTATAAAATTATTTCTCGTTAATAAATTGGCATACATTTGAGAGAAGAGTGCCCAAAAAATATTTAATGCTGTTTGAAGAATGATGCAAAGATGCAGCAACGATTGAGCGGCAAGTCGTTTGATATACGAATAATATAATGTTGAATGGTTTTATTACCCTCAAATCAAATTTTAACATAAATGATACTTTAACGTGTGCTCGTCTAATGGTTTTTCTTCACTCTATCCTATTAATTAGCTTTTCAAATTTACACAGCTCTCCTTACAATTGATTGGAGTAAAGACGAAACTTATAACACTTGCAGTTTTCGAGTTTTTCCTCACACAACTTCAGGTTACGAAATTTAATCAAAATATGTAATTATAATTTCTAAAATCATATCTGATGTGTTTACTTTGCGACAATTGATATAGAAGGCATGATGATGATGACAACATTGCAATTTGCTGTCGACTTTTAATGGCTTTGGGACAATTTGCATGAATTTACTTTAATATTTGTAAGTTTGAATTTATATTACAATTATTAAATATCTAAGTATGCAGCATGAGATTTTTGATATTATTTCGGGTCAATAAACAATTTCATAAGATTTTTCTTGAATTATCATAAATTATCTGAGGAACACTTCGTAAATATGCTTGAAAAAGCAACATAAATAAATAAGAATCAATTCTTTAGGGCAAAATCAACATGAGACCAAACAGTTCATGTTTCAATTTTTAACTAAATTTTCATACATATCTTGCAAATTATGAATGGAATAAAAGATGTGCAGGACATTAGACATTTTAATTGTCTCTATTAATAGATGTTTATCAAAGAAAGAGTCGATGCAAGTAAGAAGATAAATGGTCAGAAGTCTGCTTGCTTTATGGAGAGAAATGTTTTAAAATATATTCCCTTATTATCAGATAAAGGTTTTTATTTAGAAAAAAAAACTTTTATTTCATCTCATCTTTCTTTTAAAATCAAGACAATTACGTTTAACATACAAACATTCTACACAAAATCCATGCATGCTTCACCAGAGGGAGTGAGCTTGAGGACAAAAGTTTAAATATATTTACATTCATATCCATTCATAATGGTCGCATGAGGGTGAATTGTGGTCAAAATTTGGACCTCACAGGTAAATTAGAGAAAACATTCAATTTGAAATCATTAAGGAAATATTTTGACATCTCATTTCAATTTTCTTGGAACGATAAATAAAGAGAATGACAATGCTTAGTTTGCACAACAAACACCCAATTGGAAACAAACTTTGTGCACTAGTCTTTAACTTGCGGATTTGAAATAGATATCGTCGACCATCTGGTGACAGTCTTGTGAGCACAACAAAATTCATTTATGTACATATTTGGTTTTCCTGTTACACAATTCTTGAGATAAATACTCAAAATTGAAAAGTGTGTCGACAAGTAATGTTGATTGTATTCTTAAGAAACTAGTTTTGGAACTCGATTAGATATCAATAACATTTTCCTTAGTATATCATGATTGCAATTCGTTTCAATGATATCTTTTATGAAGAACAATTTTTACGTTATCATTGAATTATTAATCTACGGGAAGTTAGCACAATAAAATATTCTAGAGTTGTTACAAAGAACACTCTTACTTTTTGCACGTGCAGTGCTTTTGCTTTTTATATAGGTTTGTGGATTGGCACGAACCAAGATAAGCTCAGACAGATCGATAAATGCTTTTCCATTGACTTTTATTTTTACACTAGTTTAGTTTAACCCAGAAAACTGAACTTGAGCTATGAAAAACTTTCACATAGGTTTATCTACAACCCTTTAAAACATCTTTTTTTAAAGAAAGTGAAGAATATTCGTAGAACTGCAACTGCATGTTGACAATATCAAGTAACAAATTGTCTTTGGCTTCTTCAATAGAAAAATCTCATAAATAGTCAAAATATTTATGAATCTTCAAATGGGGCAAAGGCTTACAAACTCTTTTTTTTTTGTTGGATTATTTTTTGTCAAAATCTTGATCTTCATTGTCCAGTTAGGAAAACAATTTCCGTGACAACAAATTCGGGAAAAAAGACTCACTCCTTCTAACTGGTTTCTTTCTTGAATGAATCTTCTTCTTTTTATTTGACAATGAAGTCTGAGAACCTAAAGCTGCATAAATTATTTCATCGCATCATTCATCTTTCATACAATGCACATTTTTACTGTATTATTTGGCAAATGTCAAAGTAATTTATTTGCATTTCTTGACACAAATCCTAAAGATTACAAGTTAAGAAAGCATTTACATGAACCATAACTATTCAATCTTCATTAATTCGTTCTTCTTTAAAACGAATGTACGAAAATGTAGGTAACTTAATTTTGTACAGGAAAATAAATCTGAAACATTCTGAATAATAAAAACCAAATTCTAGACATCAGAATTTAACTAAGTATTGTGCAATTTTCTTTTGTGGAAATATTCTAAATCGAATTGAATGAAAGCAAGACTCGTTTTTTATTTGCATTGTACATTCATTTTTGCCTAGGAAATTTTAAATATTACATAATTAAAATAAGTATTCATGTTCACTGTTTTTGTATCTACCTAAATTGCTTTAAAGTAAACGAAATAAGAGATGGGTCCGAAATGGTGTGAAAGAAGTCTTGCAAGTAAATTTTTGAGTGTGAAAACCTGAAATGGACTTGCAAAATTTTTATCAATGTTCCGTGACAAACCACCCATGCTGATGTTTTGAAGCTGTTTGGAAGATGACTAGACTTTTGCGTGAAAGGAGTTTATCTGATAGAAAATATCGTAAAACAATATTTTTAATGATGCCATTTGAAGATTAGCCATCAATTATTTTGCCCTGAATTCTAAAGCATGTTTTTATTACTTATACACACTTTAGGTAAACATTTCATGGAGAGAAGGCAAGTGAAGTAAAAATAAAAGATTTACTGATCTTTATCTGGTAATGCAGAATGTAAAATTTTAAAAACAAAAATATCTATTTAACTGAAATGAATTGTCTGTGAAACGATCCCTACGTGAATATAATCTTTAGCAAATGATCTTTCCAAGCTTCTAATTTTATTAAAACTGAAGAAGAATTTGAAGAAAAACTTGTGAGGCATTAAATTTCAAAATTTAAAATTACAAAGAAAGAGAAATTAGGAAACTTTCGTAAGACAAATGTCACATCTTCTTAATTGAAATGAATCTTCTTAGGGCTGGAGGCAAAATATTATTTAAGAGGATTATGAGTATGAAGATTCTCGCAGATTTGTTTATTTGTTTATCCTTTCTGTTAACAAGTTGATGGCACTCATTGATTTCCAAGTATGAACAGTTGTTCTACTTGCTGCTACTAGGAAGTGTGCTAAATTGTTGAAGATTTGTCCACTTTCTTCACACTTGACCCATTCATTCGTTTATGTTAACTGAAGGGTGTTAAAGATTTAAAATGTTTCTAATGTTCGATGGATAAGTTGACAAAGCAAGCTGTCACAACATCTTTAACATTTTAATTATTCATGAGATTCAGTGAAAACAGAAAGTCAAAAAGGGCTACCGAAGAATTTCTTTATTAGAAAATCCACTTAAAGCTAGCTTAAATTAATAAGGTTGTTATTTGAATTTAAGCATATTCAATAATTCATTTAGATACTTTATAAATGTCTAAATTACAATCATCAATAAAGCAATTAGAATATTCTTAATTAAAGAGTTTGCATTTTTCCCTCGATGCTTTCAAGACTGATAAATCTTCCAATCTAATTTCTGATAGTTCTTTATTTCATCAAAAAAATTTCAATGTGCAGATCATTAACATGAATTTTAATTTTATTGGAAATTTAAAATAAATATTGAGCATATGTGCTAGATAAAGTTCATAATTTTGAAAATGGGAATGACGTTAACATTAAGCATGATTCGTTTATTTTTTAAATGTTCCATTGAATAAATTTATTTCATAAATACTTTGATATTAACTTTCAACATTGATTTCATCCACCCTCATGAATGATGACAGAACTAAAATTTTGTTTCTTATTTGTGGTGGTGGTAAGGTGGTTGGTTCGTCGCACATCTGTCCAACTTTCAACAAAGGTATTGATCCCATAAAGCACACGCTCGGGCACATAGAATTTTCTTTCGATAAAAATCAAATTCCCCTATAGAATAAACCCAAACAGCATTGCACCAAGGGGAGAAAGAAATTCAAAACAGAATTAAAAGTTTTTAAATAATTTTAAAAGATCACCCTTATGATCGAGTTTGAGTAAAACTTCACATAAACAAATTTGATAGAATCTGATAAGAAACCATGGGATAAGAGACTACATACAAAGTATTTACATTTTAGAACATAAAATAAAAATGTTATTGTATATTGACTTTGTGGCACACGTTGAATCGTTAAGACGAAATGCAGTGAACACATTGCGTAGTTTTCTCAAAAAAATCGTCCATAAATGAGATACCATCGCATTGGTAAGGAAAGATATTAACACAAAATTATTTCAAACCATCTTAATGATCTTAATGATGATTTTATTTAGATGAAGTATCTGGAAAGCTCAACATTTTTTGGCCAGGAAAATAAAACGACATTTTATTTCTGTAAGTTTTATAAAGAAAGAGATCGTTCACAGTCATTTTTTATGTGTGACACATAAGTTATGACAATGAAAAATTCTTTTATTGAACATTGAAAGCATTTGAAGCAAAAGTGAACTTCATGAGGAAGAGAAGGAGGATAGATTTATGATATTGGCAACGTTGACCATGGTTCACAATATACGTGTGGACAAAAGTAATCCTTAAGAACATGTCTTTGATTTGTGGTCGGATGAACACAATAGCAGTTAGAAGCAAAAAACGACAACAATAGAATTTTTATTCCGCTTTAACTATTTTCACAACTTTTTAATGTTTTTTACCTTCGACTTATCGAAGACGATTATTAATAAACACATCACAAACAAGTTTCACACGTTCCTACACGGACCAATGGTCCAATTTTTCTTGGAAAAAGGAAATCTCGTTGGAGCAAAATTAATAGATTTTTTTTTGATGTGGTCAAGTCAGCATAAAAGAGAATTCAAAAAGATTAGATGTATTGAAGAAATATTCTAGAAATCTTGAGTTTTCAATTCTTGTAGCGTTCTTTTGTAGAATCGAACTCAAATTTATATATAAATAAACAAATTAACAACTTTCAAATTACCATAAAGCTCCGTATAACATTGCCGTGCGAGCGAGTCGATCTCTTTATTGTCTTTAAATTTTTATTCAACGTAAAAACAAACATCGAATGGGCACGCGGCCGGACACAGTTTTCAGATTATCATCGGTGCATGTTAATTAATTTTGATGATTTTTCTTATTGATCGCTTCTAATAAGATTATCATGTTGTTTGCCGCTTACTATCGTCAGTTTTGTTCATTCTTTAAATCATGGATAAGATTGAAAACTCATTTCTTGTTTTTCAATATAACTTTTCTAAACTAACCATTAAGAATTCAATAGTCTTCTCAAGTAGGAGAAACACATAAAGACAATGATCCGACACTAATGAAATTTTATTCAAATTAATAATCAAATGTTTGATCGTTGCATCAAGCGGCGCAGTAAGACCACACATAAGAATTTTACTCCCGCCGGTGATTTGAGATCAAAAAAAGTTCAGTCAGGGAATTCGATGACGACGTCAAGATCCATAATGATCGAAATTCTAACTCACTTCATAAGAAGGACTTCGGCATTTTTTAAGCTCTGTTTCAATGTCAAATTTTTCGAATATTTCATTAAAAAAAATTGAAATTTAAAATGCTTATGAAAATGTCAAAAGTTAATCCGAAAGTGACGTTGCAAAAATATTCAATAATAGCAATGGTCAGCAAACCTAGAATCTTTTTTTGCAATCTTTATGAAAATGTCATAAAAGATTTTTTTCTTATAATTTTGAAGCGGCTTCTTCAGTGTGAAGTTTCTCTTTTGGATAAATTGATTATCGTATGGTTCCTTAGGTTTTCAAAAAAGTTTACCTAAGTCATGAGTGAAAATTATATTTATGAAGCATGTCGACGTTCTAATTAAAAAATCTTCTAGAGTCTAGTGTTCGTTTTCGCTTTCACTGTTTAAACTTTTTGTGTAAGAAGATAAGCATTCATTTCATGTGCTTCCTAAAAGTGAAAAGGAAAAGAGAAGAATAATAAAAAATGCATAAAAACCAAATTTGTCACCATATATCCTTCCTTTGCTTTTCGAAAGTGAGAGGGAAGCAACAAAAAGAAGAATCGTCGACAAAAGACGTTGACCGGAAATTTCCTTTGCATCCTAACAAGTTTTTTGAGTTCTTTTCGTCTTCCATCTTTCATATGAATAAAAGTTTTCACGTTGTGCCCATGACATTCATAATGATTATTCTTCACAACAAACGATTAAAGAGATGAAAGAGAACTCATGAGGATCTTTCTGAAGAGATCCTATTTCTCGCTCCATTTATATTGTTCGCCTAAAAATGAAATATTTCACAAAATCTTAATTTCGCTTTTTTCCAAAAGAATTTTATTTGTTTAGAGTTAAATTTATTGGTGTCACGCTGAAAATTTGTATGAATAGTCACGTGCTGCGATGGCATCGTGATTTTAGTGCAAGCGATCACAGATGTTAAGTTTGGATGGAATTTATAATATCTGAGCTCAATTTTCAACACATTTCACAAATATTTCTTCGCAAGATAAAATGTGTGTTCAAATTTTTATACTCAGTTGATAAGTGATAACATATGTGGGCGGGTTCCTAAGTTGCTCATTTCTTTCAACACGTAATGTGATTTTTTGCAAGTGTATGTGTCGCAAATAATTTCTTAGACCTCCCACAATTATTGAGTGTCGTAAATCATTTTCTTTCTTTTTTATGAAGAAATATTTCAAAATCCTTTTGCAATTGAATTTAATAAAAGCAAATATCGTAAAAGCTAATTTGAATTAGATATAAGTAAAATTATCCAATATGGCTTCGACGTAAAAAAGAAGTGAAAACTTATGTAGGCTTAATCTGTGTGTCAACTTAAAAAGAACTCTCAAAAATTCTTAAATTTAGAATCCAGATGGTGCTAAATTTCTCATTTAAAATTGGACATGTTACACATGAAAGTTGATTAAATTTCAATTCTAAATTTATCCTTTTTTCATCAGTAGCAAAGCTGAAATGGGCCATGAAATTGTTTGGATTCAAGCGGCACTTTTACAAAATTTAAATTGATTTTTTCCTCTGTTTTTTTTTTGTTCTAACTTAAAACAAAAAAGAAGCTCTGAAACTAATTTGATTATCCAATCGGTTTCTAGTTTATTTCAATTTATAAGATTCAAAAATTTAAAGGATTCGAAACACTTTTTTATTAATGCTGCTTAAACTAATTAAACATTTTATTCTGTAATCGAAATGTATTTTGCAACATAATATGCTCAAATGGAAAATATTCCTCTAGGTAATGAAATTATGGTAAAAAGTAATGTTTAGGATCAGATCGTTTCCAACAAGAATGCAACCAGAAAGCCTTCTCGCAAAAGTTCTCACCTTGAGGGTACAAACAACGTTTGCCCATGTGCAAAGTGATTTCATGCATTTCTTCTGGCAACATATCGTGTAATTTTTCGAAATGAACATTTCCGTAGTCATCAACCTGTAAAATCAACAAAAAGATCATAAAAATTGTAAATAATTATTCATAAAATGTCACTTACAACATCAATTTCGTGAAAGATACAAGCCATGTAACATTTTAAATTTTCATCTTCGTGAATTTTTCCGTCGCTAAATTCTTTAATTGCTTCTTCCGTCACACCCGTTTTAGCTACACATTTAACATGTAATGGTTTAATTAATCTAAGAATATTAGGTGGAGGCCATTCGTCGTCTCTCCTTGGTGTGACATCTTGACAATAAACAACAGTAAATAAGGCACAGAGATAAAAAATCTTCATCACTGATGATGATAACTGATCTACACTTGAATTAAATAAACAAACTTTTTAGCAAATCTTTTTATAACAAAACTAGTAATGAATCAAAGCAATTTGTAAAACAATTAAAATTTAATTACTGTTCATAGCTATTCATTACATTGTTTCATTAAACTTTATTTCTGAATCATAAGTTGTAATTAAAAATACTCAGGAAACACTCAAATTTAATCTTACTGACATGTTGCATAATTAAAAGTTTTCATTGTAAGCAGTTTTTCACTTAGTCTTTGTCAAGTTTTTTATAGTTTGCAATTTTAACTGAAAGCGTATTGATGACTTCTTTCGCGGAAATTGTTTCATCATGTGAAATGCCCAGAATACGACCACACTCTCTAATGAAATATTCCAACTCTTTTTGATCAACAATTTTCGATGACTTGTCTGTTTGATTAAAACATTTGTTGGTTAATTGAGTTATTTGAGATTTTTCTGAACTAAAAGCTTCATCCAAGTCAAACAACTCAAGTTGAGGTGGTGGCAAGTCAGATAAAATGGGAGGAAAAACAGCCAATTGTGTGGGTGGCAAGGGCAACTCGAATTGTGGTTTGATTATTCTCAGTGGCTCGTATTCAATATCAAGTTTCTTATATGTCGCAATAACTTCATGCAAGCGATCATTGTTGATTGAATACAAACTCATATCAAATAATTTCTTAAAATCAGCTGGAATATCGCAATCAAATGATTCCACCAAGCATATTTTAGGTTGATCTGCCAAGTATATAACATCCGGAATTGTTGTATAATCTTGAATCTAGAATCAAGAAGGAATTTGTAAGTCTTTCATAATTAAAACGACAATGAATTATACTTCAACATCATTGAAATCCTTAGCCTTGAACTTGATGGATTTCTCCACTAACAGCGTAACAAAATAATCCCAAACGTACATATTGTGTTCATTTACAATGTATTTGTCAGTGAACACGTGTCCTGATCCAAATGCTAATATTTGCCCACCATTATCATTAGAATAATAACCACACACTGGTCGATTAAATGGATAAGCAATTGTTGAAGTGGTGATTAAAGTGTTTGATGGACTGATAACATTAATAGTTGCGCCAAAAGGATAAATGATTTCTATATCGTATTTTTCATCCATGATGCTTGGATTTCCACTCTTTTTGATTACTTTCAACAGTTCATTATTCATGTTCTCGCAAACAATACAACCATTAAGAACAGCTTCCTTTGGATGAAAGTATTTGTAGTAATGTTGTCTGACTACCGAGTCTGAATTAATATTCATTCCAAACTCTTCAAGCAGAAAGTTTATATTTGTATCGAATGCATTTTCACCACTTTCGGCAAGTAAAACCATCAACGATCCGCCATTATTTACGAAATCTTTTAAGCTTTCTAATTCTATCTCATTGAACTTTTGTTGTGGACCGGCAAGTATGAACAAACCAATCGACCTCAACGTATCAGCTGTAATCTCATTTTTATTGCTAGAAGAGTAGAATTAATTAAAGCAAATGATTAAATTTTAATGAAAATAAATCACATTTCTGTCTTGTAGTTTGCCTTAAGCTTTCGATTAACGGTCTTGTAATTATCTGTGAGCTTGAATAGCTCATTTTTAGATAAATCAAACAAAATTGTAGCCATTTTCAGACTGATGTAGACAGAACTATTTGTGATTGATATTTTGTTGCCAGGGAAACTCATTGTTTTGAATTTCTGTTGTTGCTACGTTTTCAATGAGACACAAACGTACAATTTTATGTACGTTTACATTTTATGCAATTAAATATGATAAATTAATCAAAACTCTTTGTTATTAATTTTTAAAGAATTTATCAGCCTTTAATTTACAACCATGCATGAAAATGTTGCAAAATGAATTCTTATAAGACAAGTTCATGTTAAAAATTATTGCAATCCGAGTAAAATCCTATAAGATTAAAAATCTAACAATACAATGCAAATAAAGTGGGACATATCATAATAAATGGGAAAAGAATAAGTAGAGTCAACTTCTACTTTAGGGGTTTGCTGTAGTCGTGTGCCCGCCTAATATTGACTTAATCTGAATTAGCAAATAATCAATTTTTGATAAGAAAAGCGTGCCTACAAGTTTTTCATACATGTGTTGAGTCAACAATGCTGATTTATAATTTCCTCCAATGCTTCATTCGATAAAAATGTTCTATTTACATGGTCTGAAGTTTACGACCTATTCAACTATGAAGATCATGATAAAAATTAGCAATATTTAATCGAATTTTGATACAAAATTCTCAACAAAATTAATGTTTTGTATTCTTGAAAATGATATTTTACCTCAAAGCGTGACATTATTCAAAGTTTCAAACAGAATCTTCTAAACAATTGAAACATTTTGAAGATCATATCCGTTGATTTATTTCCATGTGAAATTCCTTAGTAAGCAGACGAGAAAGCAAAATTTTAGAGATAAAGAATGACGTACGAAATTTCGATGCTATTATTGTGGTTTTTCCTTTGATCGCACTTCAAACATTGACTTTGCCATCATCAATCAATACATGAAAATATTTAAAAATTGAAATTTACAAAACTGCCTATTGTTCTAAAATGTTTCCTTCTTGTAAAAATTTTGTGCGGACGAAATTCAAATTCTAGACACATAATAAATGCAAATCTAATCATTCTTCTAACTGCAATCTGTTTGATTGATTAAAAATTAATTTAAATGTATCCAAAGATGAAAGTAAAAGCAGAAAAATTTGAAATTTAAATTATGACGTTTATTTCCTAATGTATTTAATTTCTATCAAATACATGCCACCCGTTTGACAAAATTCAAAGACATTCTTTATTCTTGTATTGAGATTATTTATGGAAATTTAGGAAGAAATCCGTTTTATTATTTTTTGAAGCTAATTGAAGAAATCCAAAGCAAAATGAAAACAAGTTAATCAAAGGAAGACATATCTGCTTCAATCAAAATCATTCTGATTCAGCAATGCATAATTTAGACATTAATTTCTATCTTATATTTCTGCGCTTCAAGCTTCTAATCTGTTGAAGTAATAAAGTCATCATTTTCTGCTGAATTGATGCCGGAGAGTAAACTAAACAAACAAAACTATTTTGACGAAGGTTCTTGAATAATTTTACCCATATGAAGACACTTTGCAACAGCATGATGCTCAATTTTCAGATTCCTATCGGGTCATCACAATTCATTTTATGCCAGAAAATAAACATCACTTAACTGAGGACCGGCTTTCAACACCATTTTTCAAAGAAGCGCAAAAAGTTGCATGTTCATCTTCACTTCTTTTCTCATCACGAGACGAGGTAAAATCACATCGAAAAAATATCGTTTATTATCAAGAACACGCTGTAAAGCGATAGATGATTTTCGTTTAGAATTCAACAATTCATTCAAATACAATCAAGTTATCGGCAAAAATACTTCATAATATATTACTACACATATGTAATTTAGAACAATATTTTAAGCGACTTATCAACTCCATCCCAAGATGTTATTAAGAATCGTTTTTAATAATTCACCATTAAAAAGGGGCGAATCACAAATATTTAATGTGAATTTTTGCATAAATAGTTATTAAGTAAAATTCATAGTGATGCAAGGAACTTAAATAGAATAATCGTGAGAAAAAAAAATGATCACACAAATGTGACTGATTTGTTATTTCCCCCCTTACGAGTAGTTACTTTGTTATTCATCACATCTCGTTATTGTCTTGAATATAAGGTTAAATTGAGATTTACTTGCTGTTGTGAAAAAACATATATCCACGGTCGCAGTCAAAAGTGATTAATTAATTTAATGACCGCTTAGAATTTTCAATCAACTGCAAAACGTTAAAATTGCGCTATCATGAGTAATTAGATCTTTAAGTTACGCACGACAGCGAGTGCAGTTGGATAAGGTACGTTTTATCATTTTTATTTCGGGCTGAGACAAGCAGCAAATACAGCAAGAAAACGATGTTCACATATTTTTTATGTCGATACGCGCGCGTTTATACAGAAGACGATAAAAATCGAATAATTACAGGTTGCGTCGTGGTATGTAGAAAGAAAGAAAAGGCAACAAGAAGCATAAAATATGCAGTGAAGTAAATGCATAAGCCATTCTCGTTACCCTCTCCGAAATATTAAAGACGATTACCAACACTTTTCTTTAAAATTAAGCTCAGCAGTTTCTTTCTGGGATATAACCTGAAGTCAAACATATAAGGAAGGAGTGCTGCCGATACCAAATTGGTAAAGAATCTCCAGCGAGGCAACCTCACTCTCGCTTTTTGACCGCTGTTTCTAGAGAAGGAGACATCGAAAAAATTGACAATTGAAATGTTTATGAAGACGAATGCAGTTATTTATGAGTTTTCAAGCTGGAGAGTCCTTGGTCTTGTTTCAATTTAGAAAACATGAAAATGTAAATTACATGCAAATTCAACGAGCTTATTCTGTACACTGTGTTCGAGTACAGATTATTAAAAGCGATAAGATAGTAAAAAGATTATGTTAAAGACCTCCCAAAAAATCTTCTTAAACGAGAATCTAATTTACAAGATTATAGCGGATCATTGTTAGCATAAAATTTCAAACGAGAATCTTATTAGCTAAGGAATATTATTTATTGAAAAATAATCAAATTAAATTCAAAGCATGCAAGTCTGAGAGATGAATGAAAACTTTCCATCAAACATTGAAGTTATTTCTAACTAAAACATTTCATACATGGAAGAGTAATGCTTGAATAGCGTGTGTCATTGGCATTTAATATAGATCATAAATATTATACCTTCAAGCAAATATGCTTTATGACTAACTTAAATACATGTTTTACACATCATTTCTCATAATATGATTAAGTCTAATTTAGCACCATATATCTTTAAAGTTTTAATATATTTTTGGTGTATTTCTCGAAGCACTTCTCAATGATATCAAGTGCCGACAGAATAAATGCAATTTTAAAGCTAAATCCTCAATGCTAAAGTAGTGGCATAAAATTGCGCCTTTGCCCAGAGAACATTAACATTTAAGTGTGTAATACTTGTAAGTCTTAAAACTTAACCTCAATTATTTCATTTTCCATCATAACAATAATCGGAACCGTCATAATTTCTGGTACTTGACCATTTATCGTCTGCAATTATTTTAAAAGTCTCATTTTTTCTCTGCGTAAAAGTGTCTAATGCTTGTTATAATCATCTACACTTTCTTAACAAGTGCAGCAAGGCTTGCAAGCGACACGAGTGCATTCTAAGAAAAATATTGACAGTTATTAATACATAAAATTAATATTGCAAAGGTAATTGAAGTTTTTCAACATCTTTGTTAATTAATTTGAGAGCGTACCTTTTTATTATTCGAACTAATTATGAAGATTTGGCTTTAATTTGTGAAATGAAACAGCATGCTCTAAGAGTATTGCAACATTCTTTTTCTTTTCACTCTAAAGTTTTGTAATTACAAATTCCCGAATGAACAAAAGTTTCCCCGAAAACATCGCCTTAAATACGAAATGTACAAGTCTTTATTTAAAACGAAACATTTTTTTAACTTCAAACGGTATGCTTGCTCAAATACGATTGGCTTCTTATCAACAACGAAGAAAAGAGGCAATTAACAATTGAAGAAAAACCTTTTAACACCTTTATGAATATCAATTTTATTTTATAAAGGCGTTAATTAACAAGATATTTTTTTATACATATTGATCTGACTGCAGTTTTAGGGTTGAACAACAGCAAATATTTTTTTAAACATTTTTTAAAATCTCACTTAAAATTTTAATTTAAGCTTTTTTAATTTAGATATTTTAACTCATTCAAATTTCCAACTTATTTAGAAAAATACTTTAATAGATAATAACATAAAATAATATGCATCGATATCCGAACTCTTAAGCATAAAACGATTATTCGACTCATAAATAACTAATAAATAAAATAAAATTATTTCAAACAGTATCGGCTGATAAAATGTTTTTCTTAAAAATCTCCTCTAAGAATAATTTATTGAATATTTATGCCCTCGGAGAACGACGCTGAAAAAATTTCAAACAATTTTGATACACACAATGTCGAAAACAATGAAACGATTTTTTAATATTCACTTGTGCAATTTGTGTGCATTTATTGAAAATGTTTTTTCGGCATTCTCTATAGATGGATTAGAGAAAAACGCCAAGAGATAAAACGGTGTAAAACAATGAACAATTTATCAATATGCATAACAAGATTGTTTTCTCTTCTTTGAAGCGAGTGATATTAAAATGTATCTTCCAATAAGCGATTGCAGCATGCATAAGAAGAAGAGATTTTGTCTGATACATTCTTACTTCTATCTCAGGTTTAAATATCCCATTCATAAAGTCGCAAAACATTTACACATTTCACCGCAAGGCGCTCAAATGTCAGATTTCATGAGAAATAAGATATATTGAGTCTCTAAAAAATGGCGAAAAAAAGCAGAAGAAGGAAATTAAATTAAAACATAATATTATTTATTCTGTCTGTTGGCTTCACCTTCCATATTTATGCATAGCTAAAGGTAAGTAAAAATTATGTTTTTTCCCGCTAATATAAAGATCTATTACTGTCATGTTTATAATTTAAAAAACGACTTACAATAGTTTT